AAAGGAGAAGGAGAGACCAAGAGGATGAAAAATCTGAGGCTGAAGGCCTTTATGGGGCCAGCCATCCCCATGCTTGAGGTATTCCCACCCCACCCCAGGCCAGGTGGCAGAACCAGGTCCTCAAAGCCTTACGGAAGGCCAGGCGTGTGGGGGCTAATCACACCTCCAGGGGCAGGATGTTCCAAAGAGCAGGGGCTACCGCAGAGAAGGCCCACCTTCTGGACCCTGCCAGTCGAAGTTCTTTCACTGAGGAGGTCCGAAGCATGCCCTCTCTGTGTGACCGGGTGGGATGGGTTGAAGTCATAGGGGAGAGGCAGTCCCTTAAATAAGCTTACCTGAATGGAATTTTACCTTTGCCTAAGATTTTATTAACCAGAGTGGTCCTTTTGTATTCCATCACTTACATTTGGAGAATACTGGTTTTTTGTTTTGTTTTTTAGTAAGTTTGGAGTATTAAAGTTTATACTTCTGCTTTAAAGAAAGAAGTCTTACCTTTTCATGGGTCTCAATGGGCAGCATTAAAAAGCTTTTAAGAATAGAGCTCAAAGGAGCTGTTGAGCATCAGAACTTCAGCCTTACATGGCAAAAATGTGCAACTTCCTTTTGAAAATTCACTTCCATTTCCTGCTTTCTGTCCAGCAGTAACTTAGCAGCACATACATACAACACTCAGGCAAGTTTGGACCTGTTGAAAAGTGGATATCTCCTCTCTCTGGGAGGTTTAGCCATGATCTCAAATAGCTTGCATGAGCTTGAAAGTAATTCTGAATTCCCAAGATTCAACCCCTATCATACCCAGATTCTGACACGTCCCTAACTTTCATGTGTAAGTTGTCAGGTGGTTCCACACTCGCAGACAGAATATCTTTTTCTCAGGCACCAACTTCTGTTCATTGCACCTCATACCTCATGGTTAGAGAACAGAACAGCAGAGAACTAAAGCTGGGTGTTAACTACTGCCATCCAGACTCCTCCTGCCTTCAGAACTGATTTTTTAGTTTAAAAAATTGGAACTTCTGGCATCCTCTTCAAACATTATTCTCCAAAAGGCTTGGCCCTGTCCATATATGCGACATAAGTCTTTCCACTTTCATGTCATCATCTTGCTCACTGCAGCACTTACTAAACAGCACTTAGCTATGAAAGTTGCCGTCTTTTCACTACATTGTCTGGTGTCAAATAAAGTTCTTTGAAGAGTTTCTTTGCCTGCAGATGGGAAACCAAAGAAGTCTTCTTTCTGTTAAGATGACATTTGGTAAAAAATTACAGTGATTTTAGCTTAGACTTCATTTTGATATTATCTCACAAGAAATGCCCATGCTGTTCATTGATGCACCTTCTTTCTAAAGAACGAATGTCTCGCATACTGATATTTCTTGGCCACTAATGGGAGTCATATTAATTCTGTATAGTTCTAAAGAATCTAGTAACGCCTCTCCTCTCTTCTCCCCACCTCACCCCCACTTTGCACCTGCAACTTTCCTGACTGGGGGCCATGTTTTTCCCATGATCCTTAGGGCCCAGCCAAGAAGAATGTCTCCAGTGTGCCAGGAAGCTCCATGAGTGGAGGTGTGTCCCAACATGCGGAGAAGGCTATTACCATGATGAGATGCTCGGATTACCGTTCAGAGTCTGCCGAAGGTAATTATCTGCTTTGGCAGCCCGATATGAAAGCTTTTAGAAAACTGGTCTGGGAATGAGCTGGAACCCTCACTGAGCAATCTGCTTTGACATGCTGCAAACATAAATCTTTTGTCTTGACTGTCTAAAATGGTTCTGATGTTGTGAGATTTACCAAGGAAGAAAAACCAAGACCCTTAACTACTCAGATGCTTCTACAATAAGGCCATTTAGAGTTCCTTCTGCAATCTGGAATCTGATTTTATTCTTGCCAGTTCCCCACATGCTCATCAATCTGATATTGCCCCTCCTTAACTTCCTGCAACATCTGCTCCCAGAACAAAAGATGGGAGATGCTTTGCTGCTAAGTGATCTTTTATGAAATACTTTCCCCTACAAGGGATACTGCTCAGGGACCAGCGCTCAAGCTTTGTGCCTAAAAAGTCCCAAGTTCAGCCAGATGGTTCTCCTAATACTCCTAGAAAAGCCTGAGAATCTTGGTCAGCATATGCCAGCACATGGCTTGCAAATCTTGGTGTTGGAATCCCAATAATTTGGTAGGGCATCAGGGTGGGGAGGCTGATGTGGACAGAAGGGACCTGACTTGCTTTAAAGCAGCTTCCAGTTACTAAGGAAGGCATATACTATATGTATGGGTGCTGAATTATGTACAGCTAGATACCTCCCCCCACCGCCAATGCATTTTTCTAAATAAAATTACTACTACGAATCATTGTTTTTTTAAAAAAATCAAACTAATAGAGATTTGTAAACTTCTTTACTTTTTGCAAAATAGATCCCATTCTGCAACATCAGCCCCCAAGATGTTTCATCCCTGATTTGAGAGCTGCCTACACGTTCAGCCTAGCTGATGTAGGTTTCTCAGAATTGTTTCTCTCGTTTTAAAGTTGTATCAGGAAACAACAACAACAACAAAACTCACTCAAGTCAGAGTCAGAGAAGAGAATATCTTGAATTTTAGGAATTTGTAGCTGGGTTTGTACATTGATTCAAGCCAAAATAGGACTTAAACTGCTTTTGATTGCATGTTGTATAAACTCAGCCAATTTATTCAATAAACCATAATTAAGCCAACCCTACTTTACTGCAGTAAGTGAAGCTAGCCTATATTCATATAAAGACAGAGGTACAAATGTAGACAAAAATATATGTAATGTATATAAGAATAAAAGGTGGCGGAATTATGAAATGGGGATCAGATGTCTTCATTCTTCTTCTAGGAATATGTTACATATTATTTGCTTAACCATGCTTTCTTGAAGAAGCCACAGCGAATGGGTTCAACATGCTAAGCAAAAACTGACCAGCATGACTCTGAGCTACATAATGTGGTTTGTCTTATTTTTGGCTTAACATGCACAAACCTAGCCATTAAACTTTGGTTTACGGTTTAGTTTGTTGCACGAGCCCAGCCAATGGTGGCTTACTAGACAAACTATGATTAAAGCAATGTATGAATCACACCCATGCCTAAATTAAGATTATATGTGTACCACTAGTTATCAAATAGTTATTTTCTATTGTCAGGTGTGAAGATAACTGCTTAAGTTGCGATAGCTCTGGAAGAAACTGTTCCAAGTGTAAAGAAGGTTTTAATCTGATGAGTGGTTCGTGCATTGCTAGTGACAGATGTCGCAATGGTATGTATTTTCATGGATCGTTAGCATGTGAAACAATGTCTGTTTAGTGTGTGGCTACAAGTAGTGGAAAGTAAGGGTAGGAGTAGCCATAAGAGTTAATGTTTTGAATGTGTGGGATGTGGTAGAGAGCAGCTGAGGAAAAAAGAATCCTGCAGTTCAAACAGAATTAGTTTAGTATCAAAATAAAGAACAGATTGGGAAGAAATGTATTGGGACTGTAAGAATTGGATTTTCAGTCAGGCCATTACTAGTTCTGCATGCCTCCATTCCCTAGAATCTCATCCTTCTCTTCAACCAGATGTTCCTCATTCCTTTTCTTTCCTGCATCAAAGAGGAAGGCAATTTTAATTGCTTTTGTGGCTGAAATTTCGTATTTATGGAATATATAATGAAGCCTACTGGAATTAAATTGGGGTCAGAGGCATGGATGGAGAAGAATTAGTGATGTGAAAATGGGCAGGTAGAGCTATCAGTGTAACTTATTTTGATATAAGAGTCTACACTGAGCTGCTGCAGAAGCTTCTGAAGGACAGGAAGGATTTGCATATTCAGATCCATACAAGACATTCAATGTCAGTTGTTCTTCTTAAAGTTAGTTAGTCCCTCATTGCAGACTTGGCTGGCTATTCTGTTTGAACGTCTAGAAACATGCTGCAGCAGCTATGGGGAGTCTAAACTTTATTTTTACTCCACCTTCACTGCTGGGGGTAGGTAGAGTGATTATAAGAAAACCTGCTGCCGTTGCTTTGTAGTTTTGTAATGCTACAATATAATTATTATATGGGAGAGATACGTAGCTTCGTTAGTAGAGCATCGGCCTTGTGTGCAGAAAGTCCAGTTCAGCCCCTGGCATTCCAGTTGGCTCCTGGAAGCCTGAAACTGTGGTAAGAATGCGTAGACAAAACAGAACTCATTGGAACCAAACCTTTGATGATGTATTCCCACTTCTTAAGTGGTGGAATCCCATCAGACTCTTTGAGAACAAGACAGCAGGAACTCATTTGCACTATACCAGCTTTTGGCATTATCCAGTGCAGTGTCAGCTTCTCA